GAGTCTATCTCATATATTAGTTTCACCTTTTAAGTTGCATTACTGGAATAAATGAACTTTTGCACGATATTCTAATTTTTTGAGTTTCACCTGTATTATTGCACTGCCATATGTTTTGTTTCAACAATTTTTTTACATTTATGGTAGAGTTTGTGTTTTTTGGAAAAATATAATGGTCTTGGAATCCATTGTGACTAATTAATGAGTCTGTGTATGAAGCTGCAGCATCTTAATTTTTCAAAGAAAATATAGTGAATGTACTTTTTTCCCATTGTGCATTTTATTTGTTGGGAGTGGATTGTGGGATACAGACGTTGAGTGTATGCACACAAAAGAGGGCAATGAGAGTTGAGGAGTGACTTGGGTGGATCACAGAGAGGACAGCACCCTAGTCATGGCTGTGATAAATGGCGTCTTAATCATTTCCCTTGTACAAAGCTATGAACTTGCCTGCTTTGGAACAAGTATCTACTTGAGAGCAGAGCAGCAAATTGACAGAACTTTGACAGTTGCCTATAGAATGTGGAAGAGGGTTTTCCTAAACACATTCTGGAGCTTCTCCCACAAGCTATTTACCTTCAGTGGAAACTTCTCAGCTAATAGCTTCCCCTATCCCCTCCTGCTCTTTTATTAAGAGTGTGCAAATTGTTTGCATGCTACAGCATACAATATATTTATTTAGATAAAATACAATATAATGATAGAGCAACAGTGCATATAGCTAGTGGCAGATTTAGTTTGGCATTGTCGAACTTCTTCCTTACATGATATATCTAGCACACAGTTATTTATTCTTTTGCTGTATGACACAACTATCTTCTTTTCTGGCCATATGTAGTACCTTGGGAAGTTGGGGCTTTCAATTGGGAGTAGTAGTATATGGGTCATTTATCTTCTCACAGTTTGACCCCAAGTCTTGTGGCATAGCTAATTTTACTTGGGGGGTTGCAAACCATGATTTTTTGTGATAATGGCATAGAGCAGTGATGGCGAACCTTTTAGACACAGAGTGCCCAAATCGGAAGGCGTGCACATGTGCGTGCACCAGAGCACTGGAAACCCAACAACCAGCTGGCCGGCGTGCATGCATGACTTGGAAACCTGACAACCAGCAAGCTGAGCTGGGGTGACGGCGTGCGTGCCCATAGAGAGGGCTCTGTGTGTCACCTCTGGCATGCGTGCCATAGGTTCGCCATCACGGGCATAGAGATTCTTGGGGAATTTGGCTGTTGTGATACACTCTCTGGACTGCCCTGCTTGTATCCTTTCAGATTGTGTCTTCAGCCTCCACAGACCTCCAGGACTACACCTATTACTTTGTGCAAGCCCCATGGCTCTCAGTCAAGCTTCTGCGCCTGCTACAGTGTTACCCACCCCCAGGTAACAAAAATGTGGTCTTCTGCTCGGTGATATCAAAGATAGTACTGGAATATGTCAACTTCCTGGTGCTGAACTTCTTGCTGATTTGCAGTCCTCTCCTTAGTAAAAGGCATAGAAGCAACACTTCCTTTTATTATTAATCTGTTTTACCTTTTCATCATTACATCAATTTTCATTTATAATTCAGGATCATTGACTGTTTTGAATGCTTTTTTTGCAAATAGATGGGATATGAATTTAATAAATAAAAGTTAGTGTCTCTTCATCTCTTCTTTTTACTAGGTTTTTTTAGGGATGTCCTTTTTTCCTGCTCTAGTAATGAGCCTGCACAAACATTGTACTCATGCCCTTTCCATTTTCCTCTCACTCTGCATTTGGTCATTGGAGGAGGAGATCCTGATAATGCCTATTATTTTTGTAGCATCCCAAACACACTTGAGCTTTGGTTGCATTTCCATATGGAGACTTTCAGAACAACACAGAATGGATGGTCTTAAATGTGTGTGAAACTGGAATTAAATATAGCAATAGCACTTAGACTTATATAGTGCTTCACAGTGCTTTCCAGCCCTCTAAGCGGTTTACAGAGTCACCATTTGCCCCCAACAATCTGGGTCCTCATTTTACTGACCTTGGAAGGATGGAAGGCTGAGTCAACATTGAGAGTAGAACTGCCAAACTGCTGGCAGCGGGCAGTCAAGAGAAGTAGCCTGCAGTACTGCATTCTAACCATTGCACCACCACAGATAGATAGATAGATAGATGATAGATAGATAGATAGATAGATAGATAGATAGATAGATAGATAGATAGATAGATAGATAGATATCCTGCTTGTTAAACTAACTGGCATATCCCCCCCCCCCCAATATTTTGTTTTCTTTGCAGAAGATGCAGCAGTGAAAGGGCGCCTGGTTGAATGCTTGGAGACTATCCTCAACAAGGCTCAGGAACCCCCCAAGTCCAAGAAGGTCCAGCACTCCAATGCCAAGAACGCTATCCTTTTTGAAGCCATCAGTCTCATCATCCACTATGACAGGCAAACATCTAAGTTTGGTTGGGGGTTTTATACTAAAAGTCTATTAGATTGGAGTTGGAGAATGCATTCTGTTTCAAGGGCTCCCACATTGGCAATGCCATTCTCTTGAATATGTACTCTCCTCCAGACTAACAGATTAACAGAGTTGGAAGGGACCTTATAGGTCATCTAGTCCAACCCCACCCACCCCAAAGCAGGAGACCCTTCCAGAACTGCATTCACAGCCTGTTCTCCATGACATTCTGCTTCTCCTTGAAAATGCTCATTTTAGGCTGTTGGTTTGAGCTCTGAGCTTGGCAATTTGCTCATTTTGTTTCACAGCTAACTTTTTGAATGCCTCCATTGATACTGTTGATACATTAATACTGTTGGAGTCTTTTAAAAGCCAAGTTGCAGTGGGATGGTAGGAGGGAGGATACATGTGTTTGCAACATTTGAGGAGGGGAATGTTAGCCAAAAGAACTCTCCCAAATGCTCCTCAGCTCAGAAAACCTTTTTATAAAAGCAATTTGGTTTCAACTGAGTTTTTAACCTGATTGTTACAAGGAAACAGGTGAAAAGTTCTGATCAATTTGAGTTTTCCCAATTTGTGGAGAAGGAACAAGATCTGGCTTAGACTTCAGTAGGTTAAATAGAAATAATATAGTCTCTTTGGCCCACAGACCCAAAGTTCTTCAATATTATTTTAATTGAACCAAACCTGGGGGGGGGGCGGGGGGAACCCTTGTGTGACTTCCAAGAGTTTATGTTACGTGTCAGCCATTAGAAGCTAAGCTATAGGCAGAGCCAGTGAAACAAAAGAGAACCATGAAAATCAAACAAAAAGAACAGGGTGGTTTTATAGAATGAGGATAGAATCAGGTGGATTGCTGGCACACTGGGAGACTTGAGAGACTGACAGGCTGAGCTACATGCAGAGTACTCCCTGCTGTGTCTACTCTGGAATTAACCCTGAATTCTTGTTCTGCAGTGAACCCAACCTGCTGGTACGTGCATGCAATCAACTAGGCCAGTTCCTGCAGCATCGAGAGACCAACCTTAGATACCTAGCCTTGGAGAGCATGTGTACTCTAGCCAGTTCTGAATTCTCACATGAAGCTGTCAAAACCCACATTGAAACTGTCATCAATGCTCTAAAGGTCAGACTTTGAAATATGCAGAGCAAATGAAAAAAGCAACTTTTATGTAAAGCAAGGGTATAGGACTGAGTGAGAGTGCCTTCCCAAATTTTTCAGTTCTGTACCGCTTAGGGAAGAAACCTAGGAAAACAAGGAGCTCAACCGAAATGAGAAGGAAGCTGTCAGGGTTATGTAGAGTCTACAGTCATTTTGTCAGGTATGGAATTTGGATTTAGAAGCCTAAAGTTGTGCTTTTCATTTTGATCTATTTGTTTTACAAGGCAGCTTTCCAGCATTATCAATGTCACTTTAATTGCCCGAATATACATTGATGAAATATCAAAAGCCTGGCCAAGATCCAAGTAGAATTTACTGTGTTTAGGCTTCGGTATCCTGCCCGGCTTTTGCTTCTTTCTATGTCTAATAGTTTCCAAGGAAATTAGAGAAATCCTGAAAATATTGGCAATGGAGTCAGTTTACAAAAATGGACATGGAATTAAATCATACTGTATATGCATTTATTTGACACTTGTTTATCACATGTACATATTGCTTTTGTCCCAAAGGTGCTTTTTCAAGAGGCAACTGGACTTTCTGTTTTTTCTTTGAAGATGTTTCACTTCTCATCCAAAAAGCTTCTTCAGCTCTGACTGGATGGAGGGGGATGGAAGGATTTATACTCCTTGCAGAGAGCTGGTCATTTGCATTCTTTTAGTGCATCATTATTTATTTATTTATTTATTAAATGTATTTATATGCCGCCCGGAGGTTAAGGCCACCTGGAGGTTTATCTGTGTCACCAGGGTCACCTGAGTGGTGCAAATGGGTGTGGAGCCTTCTTGGAACTGTTGGAAGTGAAACATCTTAAAAAAAAACCCAGAAAGTCCAGTTGCCACTTGAAAAAACACCTTTGTGACAACCATGACCTGGATGACTGAGAATCTCCATAGACATTGCTGTTGTAATCTTCAGGGATTACTAGACGTTAACACATATATCATGAAAACTAAAATCTCCACAATAAATTGGTAAACTAAAACAACCCAAATGACTTCCTATTAACTGGATATAGTTTTCTCTAGTTCAGCAGTTCTCAAACTGTGTTCCATGGAACCCTAGGGTTCCACAAAAGCATCAAAGGGTTTCTGCAAAAAATATCAAAAATCAAATTTAAAAGAGATTTTAAAATAAAACCACATGAGGCCAACTATTTGTCAGTTGGTGTCCAAGCAGCAGACAAGGAAGTGCATCATGTCATTTGGTTCCTAGAACTCTAATGCGAAGGTAGGAGGAGCATGGGTTATCTCCAAACACCCACTAACCAACGGAAGTTGTTTTATCACAGCCTGGTATCTCAGACCTACGCAACCTCTCCAGGAAAAGTGCATGGAAGTTCTGAGAAATTTCCTCACGTACACGCTAGAGTGCTCTTGGCAACATCCAAAAGATTCTTTGTCTTATAAATACTAGCATACCTCTACTCCCTTCATTCAGTTCAGGGCAATCTCACGTTCGCGTCTATACTCTAACCTTTCAATTGTGATTTGCTCTTGTGTTGTAGAAAAAAACAGGACACGCAAGCCAGCTCCTCAGGGAAGGAATAGTTTATTGCACAGGTCCAGAGACAAAGGCCTGAACCCCGAATGACATCAGGAAATTCCTTTTTATAGTCCTTAACTTTTAGCTAAGCCACCTGCTAGATTTCCCACATAGCCATTACCTTAACCTTATCTGGTCGGGATTGTGTGTGGGTTTAAGTTTAAGTTTTATTTTATTTATATGCCGCCCTATTCCCTAAAAGGGACTCAGGGTGGCGAACAACTTAAACGGGAAGGGGAAACATACAAGTACAAAATACACAAAATACACAGAATACACAGAATACACAAAATACACAAAATACACAGAATACACAAAATACACAAAATACACAAAATACACAAAATACACAAAATACACAAAATACACAAAATACACAA